GACTTCACTCAAGTCTCCAGATAGAGATGTGCCTCTGTTCTGGTTCCCTAGTGCCACTTGACAAGAATATATACCACAAATGGGATGGCCTTAACAAAGAGGAGTTTATTCTCTTACAATTTGGAGGCTTTAAGTCTGAGTTCAAAGTGCCAGGCTCTAAGGGCTGGGTGAAAGCCCGTCAACCTTGGGGTCCAGCTCTGCCTCCTGCTCCTGGCCCATTGGAGCTAGAGGTGTTTCTTCACTCAACAGCTGCTGGCTGCTGAGGCTGAGAAGCCCCAAGGTTGACAAGTAAAAAAGCACAGTCCTGATGTTAGCAACCCACACAGCAGGGCATTGCATCAAGTCTATTGTAAGTCCCAAGATCGGGAGAACATGGTAGACTGCTGAACAACGACACAACTACATGCAGAGTCCAAGCATGCCATAGGCTAGAGACCATTCCCAAGGCTTCTCCTTATATACAGGAAGCAGACCACACCCCAAAGGCAGCTACTCAGCTGCTTGTGATAGATCCCACCATGGAGTTGATCACCAGTCTCATCCAAGGGAATAACTACTACTAGCTGCCCAGCCACTCAACCAGGCCTAGCCAACTTGACACACCAGCTTAACCACCACAGCCTCCAACTACAAAACCAAATAGAGCTCACCCTAAATTTATCAACACTCCTGCAACTTTCCTGGAACCTCTCTTCTTCTAGATCCAGGAAGGCAGAGATGCTTCCTATCTTGTTTACCTTTCAGTAGAGGCAAAGGAGTATACCAAGACCTGGGCAGAACCTGGCACATAATAGGTGCTCAATAAAAATCTGTTGAATGAGTAAACATTCTTTTGCCCAGGATTAAGAGCTATACTAGAGAATTTGGGGGTTCCTTTCCGACTGGATAGCAGAGAGGCCCTCAGACGCAGGGCACTGGTGGTCTGGTGGTGGGTGCTCGCCTTTCGTGTGGGAGTCCCAGGCTCGACTCACTACGGGCATAGCCACCACCCATCTGTTGGTGGAGGCTTGTGTGTTGCCAGGCTGCTGAACAGGTTTCAGTGGCCCTTCCACACTAAGACAGACTAGGAGAAAAGGCCTGGCTATCTATAGCCAAATTCAGCCTGTGACAGCCATATGGACATAACAGTCATGCATGGGGTGGCCATGAGTTGGGGGCCAGCTGTGCAGCAGCTAACAACAAAAACAGCAGCAGCCCAGCCTGGTGGGGCATGTGATGAGAGAGACCTGAAAGCCAGCTGCACTCCTTTCACCAAGCTGTGTGCCTGGGTGCAGGTCTATGTCTTCATGGTGGGAGGGTGCCTTTTTCAAGTTCACATGAAGGAGCTGTATGGGACTGCAATGGCCTTGTTGAGGGGAAAATTCTTGAGATACGTGTCCCTGAAATTGAGTCCGGGTTAAATTCACTTTCGATATATCAACTTCAATACGTAGAGAAGCAAAAGACTTCTCTGTCCCCACCACTGGTGGAGCCCAGCACACCAATGATACAAGTGGGGCTGTGCCGGATCTGACCGCGCTGTGCTTCCTAACGACTCCTGAGACGCCCCTGGCTCCCTATGGGGTGGTGGAAAGAACACCCACACCTGAACACTCTCCTTGAATGTGTGTTTTTCAAGACAGCTTTGTTATTCTCCAGCCCCTACTCCAACTTTGTATTTTTGTAGGAGTCTTTCTCAGACTTGGTTTAATAAATAAATGTATTGATTGCTTTGAGATTGCAGGCTCTTTTTACAGTTCTGGGAACTAGTTATTTTCAGCCTTGTCATTATTTTCCACACATCCCTCTTTTTATCCATTTGCATCATCTTACGGTGTTTTTGAATTGGGGTGATACTGGCATTTAGTTGCCATGGAGTCAGTTGTGACTCATGGAGACCCCATATGTATCAAGTTAGAACTGTGCTCCATTTAGTTATCAGGACATTTGAGATGGGACATTTTTCCATTAGGGGGAGAGTCCTCTGAACTGCAAGACATTTGTACTATTGGCTTTTCCTACGAACTTCCAGAAGCACTCGTCATCCTTGGGACCAACAGAAATTTTCCCCCACATTTCCCAGTGCCCCCTTGGAGAATGGTACCACCCCAGTTGAGAATATCAACTACTTTTTGTGCTCAAACTTAATCACACATTACGGAGAAGTGAGAGATGAAAACAGCCAGGACTGAACATAACAAGACACCTCCAGGACAAACACACCTGGTGGCAGTTTGTCGGCCACCTTCCTTCCACACACTCTTTCTCTTTGGACTCTGGGGTCCTTATGGCCAAACCTAGCCAGCCCAGATCTTCACTTTCTCAGTGGGAAAACCCTTCAGATACCTTAGAGGGAATGCATTAGGAATGGGTTTCATTATTGTTGTTGTTATGTGCCATCGAATCAAACCTGACTCATAGCGACCCCTCCTTGGATTTCTGAGGCAGTATCACTACGGAAGTAGATTGGGTTTCATTACTTTGATGTTATATTTGTTTTGTATGTGACATAGCATGTCTCCAGGCTCTGAATCTATCCTTGCGTTGACAGTTATTGTGCTTACCTAGTATGGTGCTAGGGGCTTAATGTGCTTAATTTTGTTTCATCCTTACAACAGTTTAATTCATTTAAAACATGTTTCCTATTCCCATTTTATAGATGAAGAAACCAAGGCTTTATGAAGGTAGTAACTTGCCCATAGGTAGCTTTCCAGCTCCAGGGTCTGTTTCCTAATAACAGAATGGTTTCTCTGCTCTAAAACCAGCAAACTCTCAGAGGGGCAGGGACTGGGGCATAAAGGGATAAGAAAAAGCTTCCTATTCAAAGCATGTACAGATGTCATCCCCTGGGACACATCAAGTGGTATCCATTAGTATCCAACTTATTACCAGCAGCTGGAATGTTAGCCTCTCTCAGACCAGTGGCAGAAAGCCTTTGCAGGCATTTTTCTAAATGGTGCTGCTGGTGGGGGTGGGGGTGGCAGCCTCATTAATAAACCAGAATGGAGTGTAGGCCCTGATGCCAGCCGGAGAGTCTGCTGCTGCCTGGAGAATTTGGCTGCCATGTCCACCCTAGCTTCTCTGCAAAAACAACAACAGCAGCAAAACTCCAGGCTGCGTATCTGGGGAAAGGAAGGAAGGAAGGAAGGAAGGAAGGAAGGAATTGGCGGGGTTGGCCCTAAGGAACCTGATACCTTGGCTTCCGAGACTGCAATATGGGGAATATCCCAGCAGACATTATCATCCGTGAACATCATTCACTTTCTAAGATTGATGGACCACCTAGCAGTGCCAGGTTCTGCTCTAGGTGCTGAAGATCCTAAACACACACTGACAGGTAGCCTTGCCCTCATAGAGCTTATATTCTAATGAGGGAACACAGTGGACATACTAATAAATAAAATAGGTCTTAGACCAGATGGACAGAGGGGCTGTGGAAAAAATGCAAGGAAGCAGGACAGGCCCTGTGAGGGCTTCATTTCTAAACAGTGTCTGTGAAGTGACATGGGAAGGCACAGTTGTAAGCACTTGACAGTGAGTCTCTGTGGTCACAGCAATGCCAAGAAATTGGGGCTGCTATCCCCCCCACTTTATATACAAAGAGACACAGGGACTTGCCAGCGATCAGACAGGTAGTATGTGGTGGAACTGGGAATTGAAGCCAAATAGTAGGCACCTTAGTGACTGCAGGTTTGGACCTTACCACACAGTGGTACTAAGAGCGTTTGGGGAAGAGCAGATGGGTCACTATGGGAACCCACAAAGCGAACACGCTCCCACCCACGGCAGATGTGAATGGATTCTGCGGTGGGGGCCCTCCTGGTCATCAGTGAGCTGCACCTGAACCCTCCCTGTCTGTGGCCTGGTTATCCTGTCGCTCAGCCACAAGTGAGGTGGGTTGGTGGGGGGAGGGAGCTCACTGCACAGGTTGTCCCAGGACAGTCCCGGAGGAGGCTGACCCTGCTGTCACCCCGGGCCAGCTGCTGCAGTCAATAAGGCGAGGAGGACCTCGTGGGCATTCGTCCCCATTCTGGTGGGGTTTGCCCAGGAGTTCCTGTGTGGGCTGGAGAGGGGCAGAGCTGAGCTCCGGAAGGGCGGACTGGAAGAAGCACTAGGATCCTCTCTTCCAGAGGCACGCAGCTCAGGAGGCAAGAGCGCGGAGGGTGCACAGCATGGAACAGAGCATGCGATCCCCAAGGCGTCACCGGGAACGCCCTGGGGGAGAGCCCAGCTGCAGAGCCCCAGGAAACCCCTGGGTGACGCTAGAAGAGGTGGGGATAGGGTCTGTGCGCAGTAAACGGAGAAGGAACTGGGATAGAAAGAGAGAGAGGTGCGTGTGCAGTGTGCGGGTGAAGGGGACAAAGGGAGAGAGCCAGGTGTGAGTCAGCCCAGGGCGCCCCGGAAGGAGGAACCCAGGGGGTACTGGAGAGGAAGGCAGACATGGGGAGGGCACTGGACTTGGGAAGAGGTGTGCAGGAACTGTTGCCTCCTAAATCAAGTCAGAGCTCAAGGCCAGGGGCTAGGGGGTGTCGGGAATTGCCTGGGGACCTCAGAGAATACAACCAGGCAGGGCCTTGGGCGCAGCAGGGGAAGCACTATAGCTGGAGATGCAGAGCTGGGGCGCCCTAGAGCCGGGTGCAGGGGGTGCGGCAGAGACTTCAGCTCGAGGGCTCTGGAATAGCGGCTTGAGGGGTGCCTGGGAACTCTGGAGGAGGCAGGGAGGGAAGCAGCAAAGATTATGGAACAACTTGAGCCGCTCGGAGAGAAAGCGCACCATGGGCTCTGGAGAGAGTGGAAAGCCAGCCTGGGGGAGGCTGGGCCAGGGACCTGAGGGCCGCCAGGCACCCGGAGGAGGCGCCGATGGCTTCGGGGAGGATTTCAAGAGCCCGAGAGAGAGGAGAGAAGGAGGTGCAGAGGGCAGGAGTACCCTGGATGCACGAGACAGAGGACTGGGACTCTCAAAGAGCTCGCTTGGTCCGGGTCTCCCTTCCGGGGCTGTTTCAGGCGCTCCTGTTACTCACCATAACCGAGAAGGCTAAAGCCACGATGTTGATGGGGTACGCGGGGCAGAAACACGAGACGATGGAGAGCCACAGGTAGTTCTTGGGCCTGGGCACGTCCTCCTCAGTTTTTTCATCCTCAGCGTTGGCCCCGGGACTGCTGTCCAGAGCGCTCTTGAAGTCCGAGCTGGGGGCGAGGTGAGACATGGGTGGCGGCAGAGGAGTGCACTGCCCGCGCGATCTGGCGCTCTGGCCGCTGCCTCGCGGCGAGGCTCTGAAAAGCCTCGGTGCGGGGCTCAGGGGAGACGTGACCTCACCCTTCCTGCGTCCTCTGCCTTCACTCGCCTGGCTCCTGGCTTGGGTGTTTGGGCCAAGAGCCTCCCCACGAGTAGGGAGGGAGGGATGGAGGGGAGGCGGGGAGGAGAGGGAGCCAGCTAGTCTGCAAAACCGAGGGGGACAGACAGACCAAGACCAGCGCTCCCTGAGAGACACACCCAGAGACTGTCTAACCGGTGACCAGACTCTGGCTGGAAAGTCTGGAATAAAAGGCAGCTGAGGGGAGAAGAGTGGGAAGGCCCTTTAAGTTCCAGTCTTGGCCAGCCAGCAGGCTGAAGGTGACCAGCCCATTTTTACCCCCTTTTTGTTTTGTTTGAAAGCCATTAAACTGGAATTTAGAGGGACCCATCCTGTCTACAGTATGTAACACTTCCTCTTGGCTTCAGCAATTTACCTCAATTATCTGGAACCCGAGGCATTTAATTCACTTCCCTGGCCTCACTTCCCTTTTCTGCTTGAACACTGAGCCCTGTCATGCTCTTCCTCCACAGGTGGAAGGGGAGAAGGCCCGAGAGCTGAGGGGTGGACCCCTCCGCATGCTAGGATCTGGTGTAGCTGGGCACAGGGAGCAACACCCTGGTGCCCCCACTTCTCCCCAACTGTGGAAGCAGTGACTTCTCTCCGCCTCACCACCTGGTGGACCCCAGAGAGAGATGGTGGTAGCTCTGGAGGGGGTAGACACCCCAAAAGGATCACTGGGATGGGGGGGAGCTCAGGGTGAGGACAGCAGTGCTGTCAGTGCCTAAGCAATTCGTGGGGCACAGTAGGGAGCAGAGCCCAGGCTCCAGACCCCGATGGAGCTGGGATATGCTCATGTCTTAGTCGAGAGACCTCAGCATAGTCCCTTCATCTTGTTAGCCCCACTTTCTTCATCTGGAAATAAGGAATAATAACGATCCCTGGGACACCATAGGGACTAGTGCTGTGAGGACTCCATGAGACTGATGTCAAGTTGTTGTTGTTGTGTGCCGTGGAGTCAGACCCGACTCATAGCGACCCCTCCTTGGGCTTCCAAGGCAGGATCACTATGGAGGTAGACTGCCCCATCTTCCTTCCGAGGAGTGGCTGGTGAGCCAATCACTAAAGGACAAATATTAGATGACTTCACTGATATGAAAACATGAGAAAAGGCAAAAGTATAGAGATCAAGGATTATTACTGGTTACCAGTGGTAGGAGGAAAGGGGAAAAGAGGGATTAATGGTGATGGAAAATCATGTTGATTAAGGGTAGGGTTGTACAGCTGATTATTTTAATTGTTGTCAATAAGTTGTACACCTGTAAAAAGCTTTGTGATGGATGTATTTACAATGACAAAAAAACGTAGCTGCTGAGACTGCTATGTACAACTAAACACTTCATGGGATTTGGTTCCTTAGTTGCCAGGTTCAGGGTCATGGTTTCAGGGGATTGGCCTAACAATGTGTTTAGGTGCTTCTGTTCTTCCTCCTAGTTCATTACCTTGTGCCTGGAGTCTTAAAAGCTTGCAAGTGGCCATGCTAGGCACAATAATTCAACTCTATTTACCTGGCGAGGAGCTCTGGTGGTGTAGTGCCTAAGGCACTTGACTGCTAACCAGAAGGCTGATGGTTCAAACCCACCAGCCACTCCTTGGAAGGAAGGCTGGGCAGTCTACCTTGGAAACCTAAGGAGGGGTTGCTATGCATTGGGTCTGACTCGACGGTAGTGACTTTTGAGTTTAGTATTCACCTGGAGTAACAAAGGAAGAAGAGTCAGGAATAGGAAGAGGGTATGGAATGTGTGGTCAGTTGTCTCGGAACGGCTGCTATAAGTTGGAGCCGACTCGATAATGCCTAACAACATCCTGAAGAAGTGAGAGCCAGGACACTGAATAGATATATGCACATCCATATTCACAGTAGCAAACAGACGGAAACAGCCAAAGTGCCCATCAGTGGAGGATGGATAACCAGCGACACAATGGAATACTATGTAGCACTAAAGAGGACTATAAAATCTGCAAGACACCACGTAATGTGGATGAATTTGAAAGGCATTATGCTGAGTTAAATAATTCATTCACAGAAGGACAAACATTGTATCAGGCCACTAATGTAAAAAGTCAGGGGAGGTTGATACATGGAAGGAAACTTTCTTTGTTGGTTGACAGGGATGGGCAGGGAAGGGAGGAAAAATTCCTAGACAGGTATGTATACCAAAGATTATTAGCTGTTACCAAGGAGAAAGGGGAAGCTTTTGTTTAGGGGGCATTGAACTTATGCTAATGGTGTTGGAATATTTTGGAAAAGGATAGCAAGAATGGTGGCACAACGTGAAAAATGTCATCAATATAAAAATACATATATTTCTTGAACGAATGGATCAGAGTTACCTGGGAGCATTGAAAAACTCATCTCTAGGTCTTGACCAGGACCTACTGAATTAGACTTTTCCAGGGTGGCACCCCAAAACTCTGCGTTTTTGGTGCCTGAGAAATCAACATTTTTTTAGAACACTCCCCAGTGATCCTGAAGTGGCTGAATATGTTCTCAAATCCCAACACTATTTTTAGTTTTTAGGATGTAGTCCTGGATCTTAGGCTGGAGATCCCTTCAGGTGCCTCAGACTCAGCAAGTCAAAGATGAACTCCTAGTCTTCCCCAAGAACCTGCTTCTGAAGGCTCATCTGTTGCTAAGGGTCTCAGCCCACCTGCCCAACCTCATCTCCCTCCTGTCCTCTTCCGTCTCTTTGCCTTCAGTCACATCAGCCTCCACGCTAGCCCTTCACCACTTTCAAATACTCCAGACTTTCCCACTGCAAGGTCTCTGCACCTGTTGTTTCTTCTTGTGGGGTGCCCCTCCTTCCCCCCTCGCTCTTTACCTGTCAGCTTCTCCTTATCTTTCATGACCTGCTTATCTCACGTTTTAACTCTTTTTTTTTTTTTAAATTGTGATTTGGGTGAAGATTTACAGAGCAGATTCACTTTCCATACAGCAGTTCACATACGCTTTGTCTCATGATGTTGACTACAATTTACCCCAATGCAACATCTCCCCTCCCACTTCCTCCCAAAAGTTACCTCTTCTCAGTGTTCATCCCTCCGTGCACTCCTGCCCCTTGAGCTGTCTTTCTGTGTATAAGTGCCCTTCTTTCTCCCATGATTGTTCTCTCCAAGAAGCGTATCTACCTGAGGTAAATGTTCAACTCATATGCCTGTCTTTTGTTTGGCTGGAAGCCACAGGTGTGGGTTAAATTCTAGACCTGAAGGGCAGCCAAGGGCCATAGTCTCAGTGGTTCCACCAGGCTCTATCGGACCAGCAAACCTGGTCCCCCCCCCTTTTTTTCTCCAAATGATTTTGAGTTTTGTTCTACATTGTTCCCCTTGTCTATCAAGGATCTCCTACATAGATCCCCTTCCAAGTGGATGACAGTGGTAGCCAGGCACCATCTAGTTCTTCTGGTCTCATAGTCGTATAGGCTGCAGATCAGATGGTGTACCAGTTGCTAGGACTAATTGTTTCCATGAATTTTGGTTTTCTTCATTCTTCTTTGCTCTGGACGAGGAGAGACCCATCGTTGCATTTAGATGGCAGCTTGCTGGCTTTTAAGATCCCAGTTGCTACTCACAAAATAGGAGGACCTTTTAACTCTTGAGACAAGTTTTCTATGACCATCATGTCCAAAATAGCCTTCCATCTTCCGATTTTCTTCATTACAGTTACCAGTCAGAAATAATTAATTTGTTTACCTCTGTATTGCCCTACTAGAAAGTAGACTTTTCTAGTAAAGGCAGCAGTTCTTTTCTTTGTTCACTGCTATATCCCCTTTGCCTAGAACAGTGCCTGGCCCTTAGCTGGTTCTCAGTAAATATCTGTTGAATGAATAAACCAACTGTTGATTTAGTTTTCCAAGTGGACCTTGGGACATTAGTCATTGTTCTTCAGCTTTCTATGTGAACTATACGTAAAGCCCCATTGATTCAATCTCAAACATTACTCTGGGCTCTGTGCTCTTCTCTCCTCCATGGTCTTGTTCTAATTCTGGCTCTCACAGTAGGGGGAGCTCTTCTCTCCTCCATGGCCATGTCTAATTCTGGCTCTCACAGT